CCAGTGTGTTCGTATGTGTCTGTGTGCATGTGTGTGTCTGTGTGCGTGTGTCGTTGTGTGTCTGTGTGCATGTCTCTGTCTGTGTAGGCCTTAAACACTTACGTGTGTTTGTGTGTGTGTTCGTCTGTGTGTCTGTGTTTGTGTGTATGGCTATCTGTGTATGCGTGGTTGTGTGTGTGTGTGTGTGTGTTTGTGTATCTGTGTGTGTATATGTGTGTGTGTGTTTGTGTGTTTGTGTGTATGCGTACCTCTGTGTGTGTGTGTGTGTCCGTGTGTGTGTCCGTGTGTATGTCCGTGTGTGTGTCCGTGTGTGTGTCCGTGTGTGTGTTATCTCTGTTCTCTTGTGTGTGTGGATGTGTGCGTTTGTGCCTGTATGTGTTTGGTTGTGTCTGTCTGTGTTTAAACTCAACTGGCACAGACGGAAGTGACTTCAGGCCTAAAAGAGCTCTGGGGAATGTGACTTTGTGTGTGTGTGCTTACGCTCGTCTGTGCCAGTGTACACACAAAGACACACACACAGAAACAGACAAAAACATACAAAAACACATGCACATCAAAACACAGACACGTGCTGACTCTGTGTTCGTGTGAGGTACACACTAAACACACAAATAAAGACGCAGACTGTGTCAGCGTGTTCATATGTGTCTGTGTGCATGTGTGTGTCTGTGTGCGTGTTTCGTTGTGTGTGTCTGTGTCTGTGTATCTTTGTGTGTCTAACTATGTCCTTGTGTGCGTATGTCTGTTTGTAAGCCTTTGGTTGTGTGCGTCTGTGCCTGTGTGTGTGGTTGTATCTATCTGTGTGTGTCCAACTGTCTCCTTGTGTGCGTGTGTCTGTGTGTAAGCTGAACTGGCACAGACGAAAGTGACTATAGGCCTATAACAGCTCTGGGGAATGTGACTTCGTGTGTGTGTGCTTACGTTATGTGTGTCTGTTTGTAAGCCTTTGGTTGTGTGTGTCCGTGCCTGTGAGTGTGGTTGTATCTGTCTGTGTGTGTCCAACTGTCTCCTTGTGTGTGTGTGTCTGTGTGCAAACTGAATTGGCACAGACGAAAGTGACTATAGGTCTATAACAGCTCTGGGGAATGTGACTTCGTGTGTGTGTGCTTACATTTTGTGTGTGCATGTGTGTTTGTGTCTACCTCTGTTTGTTTGTGTCTCTGTGTGTGCGTGTCTGTGTGTGTCTGTGTGTGTCTGTGTGCGCATGGTTGTTTGTGTCATTTTCTGTCTGTGTCTGCCTTAAACACTTCTGTGTGTCTGTGTGTGTGTTCGTCTATGTGTTTGTGTTTGTGTGTGTGGCTGTGTGTGTGTGGGTGGTTGTGTCTGTGTGCGGGTGTGTGTGTGTGTGTAACTGTGTGTGTGTGTGTGTGTGTTTGCGCACCTGTGTGTGTGTGTGTGTGTGTGTTTGGTTGTGTGTGTGTCCGTGTGTGCGTATCTTTGTGCTCTTGTGTGTGTGGTTGTGCGCGTCTGTGTCGGTGTGTGTTTGGTTGTGTGTGTTTGGTTGTGTCAATCTGTGTGTGTCTAACTGTGTCCTTGTGTGCGTGTGTATGAAGGCCTACAACAGCACTGAGCACTGCTGAGCTCTGCACACACACACACACACAAACAAAGCGAGAGAGAGAGGAGAGTCGTTTTGTGAGACACCGAGCACTGCTAAGCTCTCTGCACACACACACACACACAACACACCGAGCGCGCGCGCGTGAGAGAGAGAGAGAAAGAGTTAGAGGCCTGTAATACTGTTTTGATAGCCCGAGAGCGAGAGAGAGAGGAGAGTCATTTTGTGAGACACTGAGCACTGCTGAGCTCTGCCTGCACGCACACACAACACAGAGCGTGGGAGAGAGAGAGAGAGAGAGAAAGAGTTATAGGCCTATAATACTGTTCTGATAGCCCGAGAGGGGGGGAGAGAGAGAGAGAGAGAGAGTGGTCGTCCACCCAATGGTAAATGGACAAGAACTCGCACATCAAAACGAGAGGGTTATCAAAAATAACCCTTAGAAAAAATATCACAATTAGCCCATGTGCAAACTGAAATACCCCTTGTCCCCGAAAACTACCACACGTGTGCCGAGTGCCCCTGGGAGGGCTCTAAATGCCTACAATGTACAACACATGGTTCAYAGTAACGATGACACTCTCAAAATTGTCGACCCACTGCGGTCTGAACCACGAACCGAGTGCGCCTGGTTCCCACTTCGGCGACCTAAAAAGCAAAGAGCTAGCCTAATCTACACAAGAACAGTTCTACCACAAACAAATCCACATGCCAAACCACACAGCTCCAACGACGAATGAATGACGACCAATCCTGGGAAAAGCTTCCAGGCAACACGCACTTTGACGACGACCAATCTTGGGAGGCACCCAGGCAAACGAGCGCACACCACAGGAGACTCGTGTACGAATAAAGCTTGGTTTCTCTTCTCGCACCAATTGCGAGAGGCGCAATCCTTGCTACATGGACCGTTTTTCGATCCTGCTTCGGCTCTTTGGCCGGAATGTACCAAGCAATTCATTATTCGACATGAACAAACGACAGCTCCTAGGCCACAAACCACAGGAATCCTCATTTCGGCCATGCGATGATAACAGGAGACTCGTAAACGAATAAAACTTGGTTTCTCTTCTGGCATCAATCGTGAGAGGCGCAATCCTTGAGACATGGATCGTTGTCAATCCTGCTTTGGCTCTCTAACCGGAATGTACCAAGTTAATCATTATTCAACGCCAACAAATGGCAGCTCCTGGACCTTTTGTCACTATCGAGCGACCCGTGTGTTTTTGGCTACACATGGTGACAAGAACAAGTGGAGGAGAAGATGCAACCAAGACGAAAGAGTAGGCAGAATACGAAACTGGCAGAGGTTTGAGGGCACACATGTAATATAGGCCTATATCGCAGGTGCGTGTCCACACCCGAGATATAGGCCTACATGCAAAGGCCACGTCGTCGCCTCAGTCACCTCGCAGTCCGTGAGCGAGTATTGGCTTTGGGGCCAGTCGTCACCCCACCCTGCGGACTTGATACCTCTTCACCACTGGCCTTTCGCTTTCGCCCCTTCCTGCCGCCAGCCGTGGTTTTGTCCGATTCCTGGCTCATGGTGAGGCTCAGGACAGTCTGCTGAACATCTGTAGAAGCCGGGACTGCCCCGACCGTATGTTGCGTCTTAGCCTCAGGCCCAGCGTCGAGAACAACGCCAGGAACAGGCACGGAAGCAGGCTCACGAGAAAGAGGTGGCTGCTCAACAGGCTCAGCAGATGGGCCGGAAACATGTTCAACAGGCTCAGCGGATGGCCCTGAAGCATGTTCAACAGGCTCAGTAGATGGCCCGTCAACAGCCGGTGCGGCCTCCCCGACGGTCTGCGTCACTCCAGCAGCAGTGTCCGTGTCTCCGCCGACGCCAAGCTCATTTTCGGCAGACTTCGCGGGTGAGCTGCTTTGCGATGCCTTCTGCTTGAGGATCCTCTTTGGCGTTTCACGCGCGAGTGTGCCGTCGATGTCTGTCAAAAGCCTCGTCGCGATTCCCTTGGCGCATTTCGTGTTTATCTCCACCACCAGACAATTCCGATTCGCCTTCACACACGCAATGGCGCCAGTCCCGGAACCAGAGAAACCGTTCAGAATGCAGGCCCCCGCAGGAGAAAATTTGTTCACCTGCCAGGAGTACGAACTGTACGGCTTCTGGTTTCTGGCAGAGGACACCGCCGCCGGGGTGTTGGTACTTCTGCGTCACAACATTAAAGAGCTGGAAATTGTGACGCGGATCTGTAGGGTCAAAGTTGTAATGCGCCATCTCGCGCTGCCCAGTCTGGCTGTAGTAGCCCAACACGCAGAATTCCGTCGCACTCACAAGCCGGGGCCCACCGGGATTCATCACATTGGGCTTGCACCATGTCAAAAGTTCCTGCCCTGCATTGCAAACTTCTCTGAATGCGGAGCGAATGGAAGGAAGCATGTCCACTGAACAGAATCCCGCAACTGTCCACAAGGGGGCACTAGACACGTCCTTCAGATTCTGAAGAACCTCCAGAACGTTTGACTCGGGAAACGGCTCATGATCAGACGCATGTCCCTCGTGCGCGAAGCCGTAGGGGCAGTCGAAAATCGCCAGAGATATCGGCAGCTTCTCCGTCTGCAGCTTCGACAGCAGGCGCATGTCACCGTTGATAATCTTTACCTCCGCTCCGTCGTTCTCATGTTTCACCTCCGTCCGGTCGACGAAGGGCTCCGTGAGAGGTGCCGAACGGAACGCGTGAAGAGCCTCCTTTGCTTGCAGTCTCCTCTCCTTACTCTTCCAATCCAAAGCCCTTTTAACATGGCCATCCAGTGCGGGGATACTCTTCTGACCCCTCCTGACGCCACCGGCGAACTTTTCCAACATGTCTTTCTTCGTGTGGAGCGGATACTGTTTCTCGGCCTCCTTGAAGTCAGCACAACCCACCCCCACTGCGAAGGCCTTGCAGATGTACGCGACTTGCTTGACAAGCTGAAACTTCTTCTCCATCTCCTTGAGCGAGATCTGCTTCGCAATGACCTCAAGGAGGATAGGGACGGCGTGCTCTAGAGCCATACTACCCATGGCTATCCTATGTTGTGCGGGCATGTCATCGGCGACCATGGGGACTTTGCTACCCTGTATTTGCACCCGAGGGTGCAAAAGCGCCATCTCTTGCTCCGTCGCAGCTGCCCTTTGAAGCCTCTTCCCACGCTGGCTTTTCTTTCCGCCCTCCGATTCGCTCGATTCCAGATCCTGATCCGATTTCAGGATGCTCTTCGCTGCCGGCTTCAGTTTCTGGCCTTTGACCTCACCCTTCTGCCACATGTTGATTATCTTGCACATGAGGTCCCAAATTTCTTTGGGTTTGAAAGCACACTGCAGCAACGGGTCTTGGGCTCCCAATTTCTTTGCCGCGTTCGGAATCATAGCTTCTTTCAGGCAAGCGAGTTTAACTTCCACCGACTTGACGGACCCCATGCGCTCGAAGACTTGTCGCCATCACTTGAGCTTCTCGATGAAGCTGTAGTCCCGGTGGTAGCCGGCGGCGAGGTTGTGCATGTGGGCGACCTGCCTCGCCTCGTTGACCGTGAGGCCAACGTAAATGTAGCACACATTGCACTTGTAGTCGTCGTTGTCGGGGTTCATGCAAGACAACCGTTCCCTACCCTCCCAACTGTGGTTGCCACCAAGGACGAAAATGTCGTAGTGGCCATTTCCCAGCGCATCCAGATTCACCTCTTCTTTGCGACTGGCTTGGCCAGGGTCGATGAGGCCGATGAAGGGAAGATGATCCCCAGTTGGATGTTTCAGCATGGAGTCCATTATGGACTGCACATGATCCTCGTCTAGCTCTCGCACCTCCAACGGTCTTTTCCCATTTATGAGGGGCGACCTCTTCAAACAGCTCATTTGAAGATAGAATGACTCGTGCGAGAGTTTCTTCTCCTTCAAGCTCTTCAACTCCTCCCAAGTCTTTGTCAAATCTTCCACACGCTCGGTCGGCACAAAACCTTGGGGAATTTGTAGCCCCTCTTCGCCCGCCTTCCCCTTACCTGGACCCGACGCCGTCTTTTTCCACTTTGCGGTGTTCTTTGTGCCCGATCCCCTTTCCAAACCACCAGAAGACTCCACCACGGTTTGAGGAGAAATGACATCTTTGCGGCGCGGCATCTTGGCACCCTTCGTGGTCTTCGCGGTCGTTGTGGTCGTTGTGGTCGTTGGAGTTCGAGTTGCTGCTTCTTGCTCTGCGCATCAAAAAGGAAGAAGTTTCTCGTCCAAATTTGGTCGTAGAAAAGCAGACAGGCCTTCCACAAACGGCTGCATAGCACGCGAAGGCAATCAACGGTTACGCAGCGTGTCAGAGTAAGTTATAGGCCTATAAGTCTTCGAGAACGGAACACACAAACAGAGCGGCGATAATTGAAGGCCAGCGACGGGCTACGACGTTTCAGGAGTTAGAGGCAGACAACATCCGGTGGCGTCCAAAACGCTTTCGACGTTATAGGCGTATAACATCCGGTGACGCGCTAGGCCTACAACATCCGGTGGCGTCGAAAATACTTTCGACGTTATAGGCCTATAACATCCGGTGACGCGCTAGGAGTGGCAATTTGTCCGCAACGGAAAAATGGAACACACAAACTGAGTTGCGTCACACGCTGACATCAATGGTGCCCACAACAAGTTCAAAAGAGAGACCCGCAACTGCGACGATAAACATTTAGGCCATTGAGATTGATGAAACATGCATTGGAAATGTTGGCAAAGATGGATGCAGTTACCTTGCAGCCAATCTTGTTAAATGCCAAAAGCTTTCTGTTCTGGATTGGCATCTTCATGGGCATTAACTTGTCTCCCTTCAAAAAACATTTCACAACCTTCTTTTTTATGACGACCCACAACTCGGCCAAAAGATACTTCTCTGTTACGTAGGTCGCAAATAAAATTTCGCCAATTTCTGAATAAATGTCGCTGCCGCTGACCTTCACGTGAAGATAGGCAAGACCGACTGTGACGTACATGGCCCAGAAGAAAAACTTGAAGTCATCGCGAACAGGACGCGACTCAAGGAACTCTCTGAGCCAATAACCCTCCTCCTCGATTGAGTCTTCTTCTCCTTCTTCCTCGTCCTTTGGTTCTTCTTCTTCTTCGACTTCTTCTTCGTCTTTTGCTCCTTATCCTGCGTCTCCGTCTTCCTCTTCTTCTTCCTCTTCAACTTCTGCCTCTTCCTCTCCTTCGCCTTCTTTGTCGTACTCTCCTTGCTCTTCGTAAACTTCCACTTCGTCTCCTTCTCCGCAATGGGGAGTACCATCCTCTCCCACTGCGACTGGAAAGACGTCAGACTGCGGTGGTTGCCTCCGTTGCACAACCCCTCCTGAGCACGCTGGCTGCCCCCGAGAAGATACTGTCCGGGCTGGCCCGGAGCTTCTCGGCTTGGTCATACCGTTCGCACCTTGGGTTGACTTCATCGTCGCGAGCGGACTGCAAACAAACAAAAATGCGCGACAGTGCTTAGTACGGACAGAGGTGCTCAGAGGCCTCTACCAAGTGTGCGTGTCTGAATGTGTTTGTGTGTGTCTGTGCACAATTTCGGGAACACACACTTGTTATAGGCCTATAGCAGTCCTGGGAACACTCACTTCTAAAAGGTCTGTGACGGTTTTGGGAGCACCCAACTGTCAAAGGCCTAGCCTGTGCAAAGGTGCGTTTAGGCCTGCAACAATTTTGGGAATACAGACTTGTTGTAGGCCTAAAGCAGTTCAGGGAACACACACTTGTTGAAGGATTATGACAGTTTTGGGAGCACACACTTGTCAAAGGCCTGTGACATTTTTCGGAGCACACACTTGCTGCAAAGGAAGATTGAACAAGAAGAGGAAGAAAAGGGAGAAGAAGAAGGAAGAAAGTAAAAAGAAGAGAATAAAGAAGATGAAGAATGACAGGAAGCAAGAAGAACGAAGAAATGCTTGAGCACAACAAAAACAATCATGAACAAATAGATAGTCAACTGCCTAATTTTTGTCAAAAATTTACTCAGAGTTCCTTAGCGACTTACTCCGATTAATTCACAATTTTTCTAAAAAGAAGAAGAAAAAAAAGAAAAAAAAGAAGAAGAACAAGAAGGGGGGGGGACGCGGAAGGAAG